AATGAGTCTTTATCACCTTTTTGAAAAAAACTGCACATATTTCATTGTTTAAACTATTTTCTTGTTTGACTAACTCTTTTGTTTGTATTCTTATATTGTTTATTCTTTTGTACCATTTAAAAAAAAAGAATCTAACGGTGGAAATTCTAAGCCTAGTGTGCAACTTTTGACACATCATCGTCCCTAGAAGCATGTTGCTGTATGTGACTAAATATCTCTAAGTTTCTTATCAGCGAGACCATCTGATGATAACATTGAGTCACCCACTCATGTTGATTGTCTAGCATTGTCTAAACTTTCAAATGTGAGGTTGCCTGGTCCTAATCAAAAAAATTATCTTAAGGCTTGTGTGTTTATTTTCTTGGTTAATCTTCTCACCTGACCTTATCCATGGAAGCATGGTTGTCGTATGCATCAAGTCTCATGTTTTGCTGAAACATTGAGCAAAACCCAATGGCTTACCTTGATTGCATAGTCATCAACGTAAGAGATACTTGTCAGGTCCTTAAATGACAAAGGGTTGTTCATGTCCCCGACCTCCTAGTTTGAGGAATGACATGGTACCATTATGAATTAACGATGAATCTTTGATTCTAGATTGCAACTTACTCTATGATACAGAAGTTTAAACCACTTCTTGTTGATGTGTTAAACTGTTAATGATTCACGCTGAATTCACCCCAGCGTGATTGAAACAATCCATTCTATCCTTTATCTTCTTAATAAAACTTAACGATTCACTATGATATACTACACACTGATGAAAGTTTGAAACACTATGTCGATGGTTAGTTTACGTACCGTAGGCTATCACACACACACACACCAACCCATTCCTGCCCTGATATTCTTCTTTAAAACTTTATGATTCAGTGTAATGTGCCATACACTGCTGAGGGTTTGAAAAATCTTTGCCGATGGGTACATTTCACTTCGGAATGTATTACACGCATCATACCACTCTTGACCATTTTTCTTCTAATAAAAGTGATTTATGATTCATCATACGAAGCCACATGCTGATGAGATCACACAATACCATGTCAATGAATGGTAGTTTAAGCCCACACTATCAGGAGGCATTACAAACTTACTAGGTGACCATCTCAAGCCACTCCTTGATCGACTACACTGATGCTGATGATGTGTCTAAAGTGTCTATCTTATCCAAACGGTAACTTTTTGAAAGGCGATTAAAAGGTCTATCATTATCTTGGGATACGAGCTTTTTACGGTGAAGATCTCTTTAGTCATGATTACGTAAAAAGGAAGGAATCTTTTTGGGTATATATTGGGAATTCACCGCTCTAGGTTAATTTTACAAGCGATTCAAAATCAATTGGCACTCTCTCTCAAAAAGACTCCCAATCATAATCTTTCTCAAAACTTTCATCATGTCAAAGCTTTTATACGATTTTACCCCCAACGCTAGCATCATCAAAGGTCCTGACACCTCTGACTCTACCATCACCATTCAACCAACAAATGTGGCGTTGTCGGATGAAATTCCAAAGCAGTTCACGAACTAAGGAATCGAAGATTTTGTCAACTATGTCAAGAAATGCCCTCTTTGATACCCATTCTGTGACTTTCCTGATCCATTTTACCCTAAACAAGTATGTGAATTCTACTATTCATGCTCTATTGATACTGATGCTCGAACTATTACTAGAACCATTGGAGATGGTAAATATAGAGTTACTATTGATGTAGAATCCTTCTGAACTACTCTTCGTCTTCCTTGATTTGAAAGTTACTCTAAAACTCCTTTTGAAGAAACCCGCAAGATAGTTCGTGAAAAATTAGGGTACAATTTCAAACTTGTGGGCCTCACTCGTGATCCACACAAAAACACTCTTCGTCAGTGTTTTAGCATTGGATGGAAGTATTTAACAGGTGTTATTGGCAAATGTCTTGGACACAAGACGTGAAGTTTGGATCAACTAAATCTCTTTGAGCAAAGGATCTTATATTCCATCATTTACAACAAAAAACTAGATTTTGCTCAAACCTTTCTTGATAAGATGATTGAATGTATTTCTAGGAACAATAGACCAGTGCATGTTCCCTACCCGCGTTGGCTTGGGTTGATCTTATCTCATGAAGAAGGCTACTTTGAAAGTCATGGGACCATCATTCCTATTCCTGGTCTTTCTTTAAAATTCATTAATACCGCTCCTACTAAGGATGATTTGCCTATTACTTCAAGGATGTAAAAGTGGATTGAACAACCTTATCTGATTGAATCCCAGACTTTGAAGAAGATAATGATGAGGATGATGTTAATAATTATGATGATGGTAATAAATAAGGGACTAATGAGGAAGAAGACGCTGATAAAAATAAAGAATCAACCGCTGAAAAGGGAGAATGTCTTGCTCAGGAAATGGATTCTCCCCCAAGGTCTTGTCAACGAACATGGGATATCTGCATCGAGCATTTATCAGGGTTGTATTCTGGAGATTTTTGGGGTGTCTTATCCGATTGATCTGATTCCTATTCCCATGGGGGACGTGTGCGTGATAGTAGGGATGGATTGGCTGAGTAGGTTTAGGGATATAATTGACCGCGAGGGTCAGTGGGTAGTAGTTCTAACCCCATGTGGGGGAGAATTGGTTATCTACGGGGAAGGTCCCGGGATTGGATCTGCTTTTTGTTCTACCTCCAGGGCCCGACAGTATCTGCAACGTGGATGTATTGGTTATCTTGCAAATGTGATTGACACCCGGTTTGGGACTGAGGTTTAGGATTTAGATGTACTAATTGTTAGAGAGTTTGCTGATGTGTTCCTGGAGGAGCTACCCAACATGCCTCCTGAGAGGCAGGTTGAGTTCAAGATTGATTTGGTTCCGAATGCGGCTCCGATTGCCAAGGTGCCAGACTGATTGGCACTGCCTGAGATGCAAGAGTTATCCTCTCACCTTCAAGAGCTGTTAGGCAAGCAGTTTATTAGACCGAACAGTTCGCCGTGGGGAGGACCGATTTTATTCGTCAAGAAGAAGGATGCTTCACACCGGATGTGGATTGATTACCGGGAGTTGAACAAGTTGACGGTGAAAAACCGTTATCCCCTTCTACAGATTGATGACCTATTCGATCAGTTGTTGAGGGAAACTTGGTTCTCCAAGATCAACTTGAGGTCAAGGTATCATCAGATGAGGTTCAGAGAGGAGGACATAGAGAAGACCACATTTCGGACTCGGTATGGTCATTACAAGTTCGTACTGATGCCATTTGGGCTCACCAATGCACCTGTGGAATTTATGGATTTGATGCATCAGGTTTATCGGCCGATGCTCGATCGATCATTCATTGTGTTCATCGATGATATTTTGGTGTATTCCAGGACCAGGGAGCAGCACGAGGAGCACCTTCGAGAGCTTCTGGGAGTTTTGAGGGAGAACGACTATATGCCAAGTTCTTGAAGTGCGAGTTTTGGTTATGAGAGTTCCAGTTCTTGGGGCATCTCATTAACCAGAATGAGATTTTGGTCGATCCGGCCAAGATAGAGGTCGTGATGTAGTGGGAGGTACCGTAGTATCCTTTAAAGATTTGGAGTTTCTTGGGTTTAGAAAGATATTATCGGAGATTCATTCACGACTTCTCTAAGATTGTTGCACCCCTCACTCGTCTGACGAGGAAGGGCGTGACTTTCCATTGAGGACATGAGCAGCATGTTGCGTTTGAGGTATTGAGACAGAAGCTGCGTGAGGCTCCAATGTTGACTCTCCCTGAGGGTGTAGAGGATTTTGTCGTATATTGTGATGCATCCATCACTGGTTTGGGGGGCGGTACTCATGCAGCGAGGGAAATTTATTTCTTATGCTTCTCGGCAGTTGAAGCCACATGAGGGTCTTTATCCGACTCATGATTTGGAGTTGGAAGTAGTGGTATCCGCTCTCAATATTTGGCGACATTATTTATATGGGGTCCGATGTACTATCTACACGTATGACAAGATTTCTAGATATCTCATGCATCAGCCGAATATAAATATGAGACAACGTAGGAGGCTTGATGTGATCAAGGATTATGACTACAAGATTCTGTATCACCCCAGGAAAGCTAATGTGGTTGCCAATGCTTTGAGCCGCAAGGCGGCTAGTTCTGCTGCTAAGGGTCTATGTATGAGGATATTGATTGATTCTTCGCTTCTTGATTTGATTAAGGAGGCTCAAGTTGAGGGAATTAAGAAGGAGAATTGGAAGCAGGAGAGACTCAGGGGTGAGAGCAGTAGGTTTTATACTGATAGTCGTAGATTATTGACTCGGTATGGATGGGTTTAGGTGCCAGATTTTGGTGGGATCCGACAAACGGTATTGCAGGAGGCACACAAGTCCAGGTTTTCGATACACCCCGGAGCCACCAAGATGTATCGGGACTTGAGACTTTGTTATTGGTGGCCATGCATGAAGAAATAGATAGTCTGGTATGTCGATAGGTGCTTGACTTGTTGGATGGTCAAGGCCAAGCACCATAGGCCACATGGCAAGTTGCAACCATCACTACTAGAAAAACAGCCTTTTACGACGTGCAATGCGTGTCGTAAAACGCTCAGACGACGCGCAAATGCGTGTCAAGGAAGACCTTGTCATAACGAGAGACGCCACGCTTTTGCGCGTCGTCTATAGACAACGCGCATTTACGATGCGCATTTATGACACACAATGCGTATCATTAAAACCCCTGTCAAGAAAGGCCATGTCATAAATGAAGATAACACACATTTTTGCGTATCGTAAATTTAAATGTTTAAAAAAAATATATTTATATATTTATTAATTTTTAAATTAAATTTGCATTTAATGTCTCATAATAGAAATAAAATACCATATACAAAAAATACAATCCATTGCATAATATAAAATAAAATTTCATACACAAAAAATAAAATAAATTGCACAAATTATAATATGTCATACAAATAATCATTCAAATGTTTAAAAAAAAATAATACATTGCTAACATGAGTTATACATTCCTATAAAACTAACAAATAATCATCCAACTCTGTTTCTTACTGGAATATGTGTGTAATTGTCTCCTTCATCAGCCTCCATGTCCCAAGTCGGATCTACCTTCCTTATCTGTATGTATAACAAAGACACATAAATATATTGTGAATTTGTGATCTGATCTGAAATAAGAATCTTGAATGTTCGTTGTACCTTGTGCTTAATTTCAGTAGCCAAAATAGCATCTTGCCATAAGAAAACTGCTAGACCACAATTTTTAGAAATGTAATTCTTTAAAAGTAAAAAGCTGAAACTGCCAGACCATAAAAGAAATGTACAATTGTTTCAAGAAATAGAATTTTATAAATAAGTTCTATAAGTTCTATAACTTTAGTTTATCTTTGAGGTCCATAATTGTTATAAATAAGTTCTATGACTTTAGTTTATAATTTAAATTGTTACTGAAATTCACACACATGCATGTGACTTTCCATTATCTGCCACCAACTATATGTGTATGCATGAGGCCTACTAATGTGTTATTTCTTTAATTGATTATTTTAATATTTTTTATTAAACTTTGAAAAAAAATAAATAGAAATATATAATAATGTATGGGTGACAACCTGACCATCTGGTGTATAGCAAGCAGTAATGACCATTTCATGCAAATCATTCCAATCAACAACTTGTGTATCAGGAATACTCCATATGCGAACTTTTGCATCTAAAGATCCACAAATGAAGTATCTATCATTAACAGGATTAAACTATATGCAAGTCACTGTATATCAACATTCAACAACAATAACAAATAAAAAAAAGTTATAAACTTGTCCCTAAATACCAACAACATAAACAGACATGAGTTGTTTTACTTAATAGATTCCTTACCATAATCACTGTGAGAGAAGATCTTCAAACAAGATTTGCTGGACAGTTGCCATAATCGCACAGTTTTATCCATGGAAGATGAAAGCAAATGCTGACATGGAAATATGGAAGTTAATGTTTGTGCTTGTAATTAAGAAGATGCTAAAAATGTTTTACCTGTACATGATGATATTAATCAACACAAACATCCGATTTTCCTTCAAGTGATTTAACAAACTATGTGGGGGTCAAGCTTCCCACTGCAATAGCTTGAAGGAACAACCAAAAGTTGTTTCCTCCCTTTCCATTCCTCTCCAAGTTTCAATGTAATTGGGTATTCCACTGCTGCAGCCTCCACACAAAGCATATGCTTGTATTCATCATCTCCAAAATCAGGCATAGCCTTCGCCTTCTTATCCCATGGATTCCAAACCCTTACAATATATATATATATATATATATATATATATATATATATATATATATATATATATATATCATTTCATTACCCATGTAAACAAAGTTTTCCAAAAAATTTTAAAATTTCCGCACATTGTTGTTATTGTCTCAACAGTCAGAGTATGAGTTTCAATCCCATTGTGGAAAATTTTCATGATCTTACCAGCATCAGGAAGGCCATCTTTCCGAATGACAAATGTACGTTTCTTTTCATGATCAATGATTGCGATCTTTGTTAGTGTGCTAAGGTAAACCTTGTCAATCTGATAATAAATAACCCTACATAATCCTCTAACAACGGAAAAGAGTATCCAAAAAAAGAGTTTAAAGAAACAAAAATCATTACTTCTGATTCAAAAGTTATTGCATCCCTTTGTTCTGTAAATCGCTCCCGATTATGCAAATTGTCAAGATAATCCAGCGTCTCCATTTCCTTCTACACAGATTTCACTGAAACAAGAGAATCAAATCGTTTTTGAAAACACAGCTACACCATTCTATTGGGAACAACTAAGATGATGCAATAATAAAAAACATGATATTAAGTCCATTTTATAGGAACTAATATAGACCAAATTCTAACATGATTATATGTAATATATACATGGAAAAGAACGAAAAAACTTAATACCTGATATCTGAAACAGAAAAATAGGTTTTATATGCAAGAGTGAAAGAAAATGGTTTTCCATCTGTGTTTGTATTTCTGACACGAGATGTTAACAGAAAGTCTCCAACAGGTCCAAGACTAACCCTCAATCGGTATTCAAAGCTACAAAATAACAAATTGTAGTTTGAATTGAAGCAATTGAAAGACTTGTAAATAGCATAAGAATGTCTAGTATACAAAAAGGGGTGCAATTAAGGTCACCTGTGAGGCCATGTTTTCAAATCATCTTCAGTGGACTTGAAGATCAAGTCAATGAAAACTCTATTTGTGGGATTAGTGGGGAAGGGAGGGGGGTCATTGTCAACACTCCATAATCTGTTTCTAGCAAATCCATGAAGTTCAAGAGAGCCTACATTTGAGAACTGCATTCATACGTGAGGGAATCAATTATAGGAATTCCCATACGTGAGGGAAGCATATAGGAATTCCCATGTCAACTTCAATCAGTGGTTCAACAACAACTTCAGAGAGAGGATCAATTATAGCTTAGGTAATGGAAGTTGATATATGCCATTGCTAAAAGAATTGATGCAAAACTGAAAGGAAACTCATATGAAGTATAGATTTTATCTATACACATACATAGATGCATACATACATGTATTTATATGCATACATACATGTATTTCTATCTATATATGTATGTATACATATGCATTTATGTATAGCTATATGTGTGTATAATTGCAAACTAAAAAAACAAGGGGAAAACCAAACAAGATACCATCTATGTACATGTATTATGTGTGTACATGTATTATTTGGCACTAACCATGGAAGTCCAGTCAAAGGTGGGTCAACAGAAACATGATACCATCTGATGGCTTTTAGTTCAGACCAAAACTCGTCTCCTGGCATTTCATCGAACAGATTGCCTACATAATCTTCATGAAATGCATCAGGAGTGTTTCTTGAGTAGTTATATGCTTCATCATATGGCCCAAACTCATTAAAACTGAATTCTACTTCCTCAGTTGAAAACTAGAATCAAACACTAAACTGTATCATATATATAATGGAAATGTATTTAGAATATACCTTTGTGGTTCTTGCAAAGATCCAGTATTAGTAAGGGAGTTTGGGCCATATGGTTCTTTCTTCGATTTCCTGCTTCTAATCCTAGAACTTGAACGATAGCTCTTCTTCCTCCTCCTTGACCTGGAATCATATGAATCGTCTTAATCATTGATGAGAAGAACTTGAAGATGAAAGATGGAAACAGAGGTGGAGGAGAATAAGGGAAACCAGATACAATAAATATGAAGGCCAAAGACCGCCTAAGAAGTGATCGATGCCAAAAAAATAGGAGGGAAACGAAAATCGCTAAAATCGCATGAGAGAATCCATGAATTTTAGGGAAAATACCACCGGTTGTTTGGGGTTTTTCTTAGTAGCGGGATTTTTTATAATTCTTTTGGGATTTCATTATGTAATTTTTGGGAGTGCAATTCGATCATCGATGGTAGAAGGGTTTTTACAGAGAATGAAGATCTAGAGGAGAGGGTGAGGATGTGTATCATGGGTGGTTTAAAATAGTGATGGGGGGTTTTGTTATCGGTGTAGTGCGACAGGAAAGAATGGTTGGAGAAGATGGTCAGAGACACTTGGCGGTGCGGGATCGGAGGTTGGGTAGTGGTGCGATGCTGCTATGAAGATGAAGGCCTAGGGCTTTTTCTTGCTAATTGGAAGAGGGGGGGGGGTTAATTTTTGGGATTCAATGGGCCGGTGAAATCCCGCCTTAAAAACGTGTGTTTCATTAAAATGTTATAAAGCGACACATTTAGATGACGCACATTTTATGAAAGGCGCCCTCCGCATTTCTTTTTTTATCTTTTCTGACACTAATTTTAGGGCACGCACAAATGCGTGTCCTCTATCCTTCAAATTTTGCAAAATTGACATTACTTTTTAGGGCACGCACAAATGCACGTCCTCTATCAGCGAGTGTCATTGTTTGCGCGTCATTAAAGGGCTGTTTTCTAGTAGTGCATTGGTGGTTCCCATGCGGACGACTAAGGGATTCGACGCGATATGGGTTATCATGGACCGTCTGACCAAGAGCTCCTACTTTCTAGCCATTTAGGAGAGTTCTTCGGCCGAGAAATTGGCCGGTTTATATATGTGCGAGATCATTGCTTGACATGGTATTCCAGTCTTCATTGTATCTGACCGAGATGTTCGGTTTACATCTGGCTTTTGGCAGAAGTTCCATGAGGAACTGGGTACGAGGCTGCATCTTAGCACTGCTTATCATCCGCAGACCGACGGCCAGAATGAGAGGACCATTCAGACACTTGAGGATATGCTGAGAGCCCGTGTCATAGACTTCGGTGGGATTTTTCCTACAACAATAGCTATCACTCCAGGATTGGTGCGCCGCCATTCGAGCTTCTTTATGAGAGGAAGTGTCGTACCCCAGTTTGTTGGGGAGAGGTAGGTCATAGGGTTATAGGAAGGACTGAGGTAGTCCTTCAAACGACATAGCTCATTCCGCAGATTAGGCAGAGACTTCAGACAACTCGGAGTCGGTAAAAGAGTTATGCTGACAACTGTCAATTCGAATTGGAGTTCCAGGTCATGGATATGGTCTTACTGAAGGTATCACCATGGAAGGGTGTAATATGCTTCAGAAAGAGGGGCAAGTTGGGGCCCCGATATATTGGGCCATTTCAAGTGGTAGCCAGGGTTGACAAGGTAGCGTACATATTGGATTTACCCGAGGAGCCTAGCCAGATCCATAACACTTTCCACGTGTCTCAACTTTGGAAGTGTGTGGTTGATGATTTGATGGTTGTTCTTTAGGATGATGTTCAAGTGGATGATCACCTGAATTACATTGATAGGCCAGTGGCAATCTTAGATTAGAAGAAGAAGGCTCTATGAAAGAAGGTGGTGAATTTGGTCAAGGTTCAGTGGCGACATCGGAAGGGTTCCGAATGGACATGGGAGCCCCAATATGAGATGCAGGAGCATTACCCAAAGTTGTTCATAGCAGCGGACTTCAAGGACGAAGTCTAGTTCACGTGGGGGAGAATTGTAACATTCAGATGATGAGGTATTTCCAATTTTTTCCCTAAGTATGAAGATTTGTTGCATTTTAGCCCTTGTGTGTGAAAATGTTGCAAAAGGGCCCATAGTGGCATTTTTATAATTTTTGGGGCGTGGGCACGTATGCTGGGCATACATATTATATGATGGGCGTACGTGGTGAGATCACAAACCCTAATTTTTAGGATTTGGACCCTATTTAATCATTCTTATGGCCTCCAAAACTTTTCTCTCATGAGCCCCCAACTCCATTCCGACCCTCTAGCAAACCCTAGTCCCTTTGAGGCCATTTTTTGAGCTTGGTGTGCATGTTTTGGTGTTCTTAAAGGAGGAAGGAAGAAGAGGAGATCACCCTAGAAGTGTAGAGCACCTTGGATCCAGAATCTCATCAACTTTGGGCACTCTTTGAAGGTAAAAAGATCTAAACTTGATGAAGCTATGGTTAGATCTAGTTTAGCCATGAAGTTTGCATTCTTTTGGTCCAATTAGTTTGGTATTTTGAGTATGAGCTACTCCAATCCATTTAGGCTATCCTTTCAGACGTTTTGAGAGGTCTAGAAGCATAAAAATATGCTCCTGGCTCTTAATTCTTCCCCATGCATGAGTCTGGTTGTCTTAATGGATTAAGATGTTGGGGTTTTTAGTATTAAGCACTTAATGGCCATGCAAGACCATAAAGCTGGAAACTTTATGGTCAAGGACAAAATTTGGGGCTTGGATCTGTAAATTAGACGTAAGGGCTTAAGTATTAAGCACTTAACGAGTTGGGAAGGAATCCACTTGCGTACGCTACACGTATGCGGTCAAGCCCCCGTATCTGGTTAACAATCCAATACGCCTAGTATTCAGTTGGGAACGCCCAATGTACTCGGCTGGGTTGACTCGGCTAGGTTGACTCGACGGGGTTGACTCGATTGGTTTGTTGACTTTGACCTTTGACCAAGTTGACCTAAGGTTATTTTTGGAATTTTGAGTGGGTTTTGAGATCGGTCGTTATTTTGGTGTTTAGGTGACCGGTTGAGCTGACATTTGGAGCTGCGTTCTGTTCAAAAATCATTTCAGTCTGAGAGGTGAGTTTTCCTCACTGTACTTGTGGGTCGAAGGCACCAATGCCGACCCATTGGATTATGTATTCTGGTATATCGGGTGTTGTTATGCAGTAGTGATCTGTTAGATCTGTATTCTGGGATATAGGATGATGTTATGCGGTAGTGATATGTAGA